CATGGCTTGCACATGTGCAGCGGAGCAATGGTGGTTATATTGGACAAAGGATGATTAAGATAGAGCTCCCAGGCAAGAGGAAAAAAGAAAGACCGCAAATGAGATTCATAGATATATTGAAGAAGGACAAACATTTGTGTGACAGAAGAGAATGCTAGAGAGAGGGTGAGATTAAGTCAGGTGATCTGCTGTAGTGACCCTTAAATGCTTTACCACAGTGGATCTATGAATGGGTCACAGCTGAAAGAAGTAGTTTTGGGGTTTCTTTGTGCCTTACTCTAATCCTTAGCACCTGAGCGCAAAGTGAGGTAAGAATTAAAGAATGAGCACCTCCAAGCATTGGGCCATGGTTATTGGGTTGTCATGGCTGTCCCTACCAGTGATTAAATATTCAGCCAGTTTTCACACCTTGCAATAGTGTTAATAATATTCATGCATTCACAGCTTTTGAGATCAGGTCCATCCTTTTACCATTTAACATCTGTCAGATGTTCATAGTAATTTATTTTAGTCCACATGTAGTAAATCCAGTTGACCTGACATGGACATCAATTGCGAGTTCCATTGCAAATGGTGTGAATGCTTATGAAAAAATGAATTTAATCCATTCTGGAATAAAGCAGTAACATTACTAAATTTGAAAGTGAATCGCTGTCAATACTTTCCAGATGCACAAGTTTAAAAAGAAAACACTAAAGCTATTCTGTTATACCTGTATGCAAAAAATACACTGCACCCAAAATATTTTGCAGTTCAGCAATACTGATCAAATTCAAAATTTATTTGTATAGCACATTTAAAAACATTACAGTTGACCAAAGTGCTTCACAATCGGTTAAGAACAAGAGAAAACAATAGGGAAACAAATATAGATAAATGAGAAGACAATGAATTAACAATAAAAATATAAAACAGGCTTCTTGATGGTACTCATACTGAACCGTAGTAAAGGGACCTCTGGCTAATACATCGGGTTCCGTGTCGGGCTCGTAGCCAAAAACTAGCTTTACTTTGTTGTCTGGGTCAACTTTGTTAGCGAGACCAGAGAGAGGCTGCTCCAACACAACATGCTTCCATCTCCCGTTTTCTGGTCAGTAACAACTCGTACTTTTTGACTCTCATTTTTCTCCCTCCCTTGCTCACGGACACATAACGGGTATGCAGCACAGACTACACTGCCCATGAGGCTATATTCTTTAGGGCTATGGCCGTAACACTCTGCCTATTGCCTTCACATTAAATAATTTTTTTAAATATTTCTTCACGTCATTATGTGAGCTGCAAGTAGGGGTGACATGGGCCGCGAGATTGAGACACAGGCTTATTGCGTGTTTTGCTTGGGTTTCCACCGGCATGGAATTACCAGAAATGGAGAGAGCATAGCCTAACATATGAAACAGGAAAAGACTGCCGTGTAATCTGTTTATTTCAACAAAGTAACTGTATTCTGAATACCACCTTTTTAAAACGGTAACTGTAAAAGCAATACAGTTACTCATATTTAAGCGCTTTTCGTAGACAGGCAGTCACAAAGTGCTGTACACAAAGGTTAAAATAAAGAAAACATTAAGTAATAAAATAGACAATGCAAATTCAAAACAATTCAAAAGTGTTGATTAACAGAAGGCCTGTTTAAACAAAAAAGTTTTTAACTGCTTTTTAAAGGATTCCACAGAGTCAACGAAACGTAGTTGTGGTGGTAGACTGTTCCACAGCCGTGTTGCCACAGACTGAAAGGCTCTGTCCCCTTTCGTCCTCAGTTGTGTATGGGGAACAACTAACAAACTCTACTCAACCAATAAACAAACAAGAGAGAAAAGCTAATCAGCTGATCATTGATCAGTTTCATGATTGAAGTAGAAACAGGAGAGAATGAGAGAAGAAGAGGCAGCTGTGCAGCAAAGACACAGAATAACTCCAGCTTTGTCTTTTTTTCATTGTAGTTGAAGTATGGGACAAATCGCGATGCTTTTCACCTCAATACAGAACTCCTGGGCTGTAATTGGTCCATCCCAGAGTCGATCATGACCCATTGGCCAATGCACCACCTTTCATTGATTATAGAAACCCGTGGTTTGTCAAATGGTTTTATCTGTTGCGATAACCAAAATAATTAAATATGTCCATAATCGTTGCATCACCACAATTGTCACCCAAGTGTGGTCTTTTGCTGGGCCTGGCAACCTTGTCGGTTTGAGAACCACAGCTTATTGTTTTCAAATCAGGCCTTCCCTTC